AATCATATAAAATAAAATATAAAATAAAATATAAAATATAAAATAAAATATAAAATATACAGGCACCAACGGCCACGGGATCTGAGGGGTTAAAATAAAATCATATAAAATCATATAAAATAAAATATAAAATATTGTAAAATATAAAATATACACACAGCAACGGCCACGGGATCTGAGGGGTTAAAATAAAATCATATAAAATAAAATATTGTAAAATATAATTTAATATAAAATATACACACAGCAACGGCCACGGGATCTGAGGGGTTAAAATATAAAATAAATTATAAAATATAAAATAAAATAAAATATAAAATAAAATATAAAATAAAATATAAAATATACACACAGCAACGGCCACGGGATCTGAGGGGTTAAAATAAAATCATATAAAATATAAAATAAAATAAAATAAAATAATATAAAATAATGTAAAATATGTAAAATATACACACAGCAACGGCCACGGGGTCTGAGGGGTTAAAATCATATAAAATGCAAAATAAAATAAAATAAAAAAATATAAAATAATATAAATAATATAAAGTATACACACAGCAACGGCCAGGGGATCTGAGTGGGGAAAAATCATATAAAATAATATAAAATATAAAATAAAAAATAAAATATTGTAAAATATAAAATATAAAATATACATGCACCAACGGCCATGGCACCTGAGGGGTTAAAATATAAAATAAAATATGAAATAAAATATAAAATAAAATTATATAAAATAATATAAAATATACACACAGCAACGGCCACGGGATCTGAGGGGTTAAAACATAAAATAAAATAATATAAAATAATATAAAATAATATAAAATAATATAAAATAATATAAAATATATAAAATAGACACACACAGCAACGGCCACGGGATCTGAGAGAGTAAAAGAAGACATAAAATATAAAATAAAATATAAAATAGAATAAAATAAATTATAAAATAAAATAATATAAAATATAAAATATAATAAAATAAAATAAATTATTAAATAAAATAAAATACAAAATATAATAAAATACCAAATAAAACAAAATAAATTAAAATAAAATACAATAATGGGAATGACACCAACAGCCACGGGATCTGAGGGGTTAAATTATAAAATAAAATATAAAATAAAATATAAAAATAAAATAAAATACAAAAAAATAAAATAAAATAAAATAAAATAAAATAAAATAAAATAAAATAAAATAAAATAAAATAAAATAAAATAAAATAAAATAAAATGAAACGATGGGAATGGTGGGGTGGGGTTTTTTTGGATACCGGGGTGAATTTTGGAGATTTTTTTGGGGGAATTTTTTAAGATTTTGGGGGATTTTTGGGATGGATTTTTTGGGAATTTTGGGGTGAATTTTTTGTGATTTTTGGGTGAATTTTCGGGTGTATTTTTGGGGATTTTGGGGTGAATTTTGGGGATTTTNTTTTCCGTTCAGAATTCCCGGATTTTTGTCACAATTCCCAGATTTCCGTGTGACAATTCCCAGATTTCCATGTCAGTCAGAATTCCCAGATTTCCGTGTCAGAATTCCAGGATTTTCCGTGTCAGAATTCCCAGATTTCCGTGTCAGAATTCCCGGATTTCCGTACCAGTCTCTGGATCCTCTCCTGTTGTTTCTGTTCCAGCCCGGCCGGGTCGAGGCGCGACAGCAGCGACGGATCCCCGGTCACCAACGGCCACGGGATCTGAGGGGTTAAAACATAAAATAATATAAAATAAAATATTGTAAAATATAAAATATAAAATAAAATATAAAATATACAGGCACCAACGGCCACGGGATCTGAGGGGTTAAAACATAAAATAATATAAAATAAAATATTGTAAAATATAAAATATTATAAAATATAAAATATACAGGCACCAACGGCCACAGGATCTGAGGGGTTAAATTATAAAATATAAAATAAAATTATATAAAATATAAAATAAAATATAAAATATAAAATATACAGGCACCAACGGCCACGGGATCTGAGGGGTTAAAATAAAATCATATAAAATATAAAATAAAATATTGTAAAATAATATAAAATAATGTAAAATATGTAAAATATACACACAGCAACGGCCACGGGATCTGAGGGGTTAAAATATAAAATATAAAATAAAATAATATAAAATAATATAAAATAATATAAAATAATATAAAATATACACACAGCAACGGCCATGGCACCTGAAGGGTTAAAATAAAATCTATTATAAAATATAAAATATAATATAAAATATAAAAAAAAAAAAAAAAAAAAAAAAAAAAAAAAGAAATATAAAATATAAAAATATATAAAATATGAAGGTTTTTTCAGATTTTTGGGGTGATTTTTGGGGATTTTAGGGGGAATTTTTGACGGGAATTTTTTTGGATTTTGGGGTGAATTTTGGGGATTTTGGGGTGAATTTTTTGAGGATTGGGGGGTGAAGTTTTGGGATGAATTTTGGGGTGAATTTTAGAGGATTTTGGGGCGAAATTTTGGGGATTCTGGGGTAAATTTTGGGTTGAATTTTTGGGGGATTTTGGAGTGAATTTTTTGGGGATTTCCGGGTGAATTTTTCATGATTTTGGGAAAAATTTTCGGGATTTTGGGGTGACTTTTTGGGAATTTTGGGAATAATGGGGTGAAATTTTTTTTGGATTTTGGGGTGAATTTTGGGGTGAATTTGAAGAATTTTGGGGTGAATTGTTTGGGATTTTGGGGGGATTTTGGGCTAAATTTTGGTGAATTTTGGGCTGAATTTTTCGGGTGAATTTTTGGGGATTTTGGGGTGAATTTTGGAGATTTTGGGGTGGATTTTTGGGGTGAATTTCAGGAATTTTGGGGGGAATTTTTAATGATTTTTTTGGTGAATTTTGGGATGAATTTTTTGGCTTTTGGGGCAAATTTTTGGGTATTTTGGGGTGAATCTGGGGGATCTTGGGGGGAATTTTTTGTGATTTTTTGGGGGGATTTTCGGGTGAATTTTTTAGGGATTTTGGGGTGAATTTTTGGCGAATTTTTGGGGATTTTGGGGTGAAATTTTGGCAATTTTTTGGTGAATTTTTGGGGATTTTGGGCTGAATTTTTTTGGATTTTGGGGTGAAATTTTGGCGATTTTTTGGTGAATTTTTGGGGATTTTGG